CTGGTTAGTGGGCTACCACACCCATTGTCCACGGTAATTACACTGACCCGAGCCATCTGTGTTGTAGAGGCACAGACCAGAAGAAACCAGTGTGTGTATTAGTGCTGACTGGATGGTATGCTATGAAGTTGACATCCATTGAAGAAAAGTCTGTAGGGTTTTTGACCTTCTTGTACACTAACTTGTATATTCTTGTGATTGTTTGGCAGACCTCAGTCATGCCGTCCATTCTGACTTGGGATAACGTATCCCTCAGCTCACTTGGGATGAAGAGAGGAAAGGATGGGGGGTAGGGAAGGGTTTCAATCTGGGAAGATATCTGGGGATGTTCACACCCACACCCACCCAACTGCGAGCATTCACATACACACAAACACTTCACTGACAAAATCTCCGCTCTCCCTTTCATTCTTTCTGTCTTTCTCTGCAGAGCGTCTGTCTGTCACTATGATTAGGAACGGACAGAGTCACATAAAGCACGGAGGGGATGAAAAAGAGCGGGATGGGAGATAGAGGGAGTTACAGATGATGTGGAACCAATAGGACAAGGCTCTTCTGTTTGTCAAACACATCATCAAGTTCACTCGCCAAGATCAAGCCGGGTCTATTTTAATGGCCAAATACATGTGACAATTTATAACATGAAATGTGAGAAACACACAGTATATATGGGACATCCTTCTCCTACGCTGCAAAAATAATAATAATAATAAAGTTGTTGAACATCATCATCAAATATCAAAAGTTGTCTACAACCTGATCATTCTGATTAGGCATTTCACGTACACAATGATGCTGCTTTTTAAAGAATATTTTGGGCATTTTATACCTGTATTAAAGAGTTATATTATACCTGTATGTAAGAGTTTATTGTATAAAGATGACAGGGCATGCTGGGATAAAGAGAGAAATGGAAAATGACATACAACAAAGATCTCTGGCCGCACTCAAACCGGGAACACAGGAATCTGAGATATTGCTTTTTAACATATCTGAATCTTTTAAATCTATTAAATGGGAAGCATCCGCATCCTAATGAGACTCTCAATTATAAGTTTTATCAAAGATAAGTTTTAGAGTCCATCAACCTTGAGCTTGTAGCTCAAATAATGACCTGAAGGGAGGAAGTGAGTGATGAGTGTGAGGGAGGGAAAGAAATGCAGGCATGGAGAGGTGGCAGAGGATGGAGCGGGAGGAGGAATAGAAGAGGTGTGAGAGTGAGGGAGGGTGGAAGGACGTACTCTATGGACGGATGAGTGGTAAAAGACGACGGGACTGCAGCGGACAGAGCAGCAGCAAAGTACGGAGGGAACAGGGGAGAGAAAACGGCAGAGGTGGATAAACAGCCAGAGTGAGGGAGGAGAAGGAGGAGGGAGAGAGGGAGGGTGTTGAGTGAAGCACTGTGTTTATCAGTGTTCAGAATGTACTGTGCTTTAGATTTGTCTGTAAATGTCATCTCCTGCGCTTGAGTTACAATAGTGTGCACACACAAGTCTTCAGACAAGCACACACACACACACACACACACACACACACACACACACACACACACACACACACGGAATATCAAAGAGGAGAAGCCATTTGTCCACCCTGCTCTTAATCGCTAAATCACTCCTCTTGTCCTCTCTTTGATTTCTTCTCCTCTCATCTCACCCTCTGTGTGAAGAGCCGGGGGCCGCTGGAGAGCCCTTCACCTCAACCAGAATACAGACATCAGAAAATGGGAAAATGATAGATATGTGCTGGTTGCATGCCAAAACACATGACAACACATCACGGACAGCAAGAAACAGAGAAGCGGGGGGGTAGTGCAACTCTCTTGTTCCCAACTGGTTCCCCTATTGTCTGCGTCTGTGTGAGAAAATGCCACGCAGGTCTGTCCGGTGGTTTTCCTGCTCTGAAGAAGAAGAAGAAGAAGAAGAAGAAGACAGGATTACGGTTTCCCGAATGGGAAGGTTCAGCATCCAATTTAGATGCTCTTTTTTTCCGCCATTGGTCCAGTTTCTTATCAGGCAGAGCAGAGTGGGTTTCCTGAGCCTGTCAAAGAATGGCCAGTGACGGGAGGAGAAATCCTGTTTGTAAATCACACCACAGGGACGTTGCTACTGCTGTCACGGGACTTTGTTTACTTTGTTTTACTACCGTTGTCTTATCCTGTTGACAAGGCAGCGCAGTGGTGTGTATCGCTGATGTAACACAGTCAAGAAATGTACAGAAAACACACATACAAGCCTCCATCCCCTTGCACCAGGTGCCAATGTAAGAAGGCAAAAGAGGAGATGCACTTCACCTCCCATGGATGACGCCTCACCCACTATGCACTTATTGATAACACATGACAGCTTCGTATCTGTAGCACGTGAGGAAGCAGAAGGTCAGTGTGTTCAGGGTGACAGGAAACATGTCTGGGCATGACACCGGTTCTCACAATCAAACAAGCCATACTGAACATTGATCAAGTGAAAGGGTTACACATATGACTCTGTCTCTGATTTGCACATGGACATACAGCTTTTGCCGATGAACACTCTAGGGATCTTGTGGATGTGTGTGTTTTATTGTAAGTTAAAGGACGCAGTTACAGTTGGCTGCACCTTAAAAAAGAGGAAAAGGGAGTTAATGCTGCATGAGAGGAACAGGATGCAGGTTCATAGTCAAATTAACCACACATTTCTTTTTTTTTCTTCTTGTTGTTTTCATGAGAAGACTTTTTTTGGTGTACACCGCTTTGATCTAAGGCTCACGTATTTCAGTAGAAATTAAAATAAGGTTACCAGTGGTTGCTGTTGTGGGCGTAATTAAGAATAGTTTTACTGTACTATCACTTCATATCAGAATTTTACAATTGAAAGTAACTCTTTAGATTATAATAATCAGCAAATATTGTATACATATGGGGTGCCATTACACTGCTGAATGTACTGGGTTTCTACTGTCAAGGAAAGAAGTACAGGGAATTAACAAATTTGTGTTCAAGAGGACCTAGAAAAACATTACACTGTAAGTACTTTAAATTAACTGGTGGGTCCACCAATTTGGTCTTGACTGAGATATCTCATCCATTATTGAATGGATTGATGTAAAATTTGGTACAGATATTCATGAGAACCATGTGAATCCTAATGACTCTGGTGACCCCCTGACCTTTCCTGTAGTACCACCAGCAGGTCAAAATGTTCACTTATCCACTGAAACATCTCAACGTCTACTCAGTGGATTAGGATAATTAAGATTTGGTTGAGATATTCATGGTCCCTAGAGGATGAATTGTAATAACTTTGTTGATCGTTTGACTCTTCATCTAGCAGAAATACTTTGGTTTACACCCAAATGACTGCAAGAATAATGACATCCCATTCAGTGTTGGATGAACTTTGTATTTAGCACAAATTAGCAAACGTTAGCATTCTGATAGTCTAGACTAACAGTCGTACATATTCAAAACAAGTCAGACTAGATCATAAATCTAGTAGTATTTTACCCAGAAATACATTTTTGTTGTGTACTATTGAGAAAAGGTATTTATTTCTGTATTTATTTCACAAAATTTGTGGTTTTAACAACCTGAAGGGAGTTTACTTTGATTTCCACTCTACAAAGTACAAATTAATTAAGGACTTTGTGGCTTGTGTGGACTGATAACATGTATAATCTGTTTATTTCTTACTCCACAGGACATGTCTTCAATGCGCTGATTCATCTGTTGATTTATTTTCTCAGTTAATCAATCTATATTTGGTCTATAAAATGTCAGGAATTGTGAAAAATGATTATCACACTTTCCCAAAGTCCATGGTGTCTGCAAATGTCTTGTTTTGTCCGACCAACAGCCCATAAAACCCAAAAATATTGAAATCAAAGGGGACTGAACCAGAAAATATACACCTATGAAAAGCTGGAAGTTGAGAAATGTAGCAGCTTTTTAAAAGGATTGATAATCTAAACTGTTGCAATAAATCTTTCAATCCAGTCAGTTGACTAATGGGTTAATCCATTGATATTTGGACCTTCAGTGACCGGCAGAAGATGTTACCCGGTCTCTGTTTAATTGAAAAAAGACCTTCAATTCAATCAAATTCAATAAAAGACATATAAAAGAATACTCTGCTTTGAATAATAATTTGTCTCATATTTTAAAATAAAGACATTTTCTATATACTTTCAGATTCTATTGACAAATCTATGAATAGGCAAATGTTTAATTTCAGAACTGCAAGATCTCTCCTGCTCCAGTGAAAAGTCCATTCTTAGTGTGCTGTATGCACTGTTTCAAGTTTTCACATCACACTTGTTGCACATTGGACCTCAACTGATGAGCTCACAATATCAGGCTTGTATATTTATGTAATATTTGTAGGCTATATTTCAGATTTAAGGTGAGCACAGACAAACTTTGCCCCCCTTTAGAATATGAATGTGAAAACAGCCTTTTAGTCTGTCTACATCTGCACATTGAAGATCAAACATCCAAGTAACAACAAACAAAAACACATTTTTGAGTAGAGGTGAAATGCAGAACTTTACAGTAGTATTCATAGCGAAGGAACTGATCTTATCACTGCACTCATACCTAAAAGGTGGCTGACTTGATAAGATATGCAGTAGGCAAATACTCCGTTTGAATTTCCTGTTTTCAGTGTTAATCACTAACTGACGCTCTAGTGATTAATTTGCTAATTTAACAAGTGTAATTATGCTGATATGAAAGGGTCTAATTAGAAATGTAACTCCTGACTGACGCAAATGGACACGGCGAGCCGAGCCGCTCTCGCGCCTCTCTCGAATCCCTGGACTCGGATGTGATGTCACCACGGCAGCGCGCTGTGGCGGTCTCCACGGCAACGCCGCGTGCTGCAGTGACGCCAGCCGAGGCCCCGGCTCGTGGTGAGTGGGCGTGACTCGCCACGTTAGCCCCCCCCCTCTCCTCCCTCCCTCCCTCCTCCTCCCTCCCCTCTCTCTCCTCTTCTCTCCCGTCAGTGTGGGCGGGACCCGCTCAGAAGAGAGCGAGAGAAACACGATACCCCGAGGACGGAGAGAGGCACGGGGGGGAGGAGAGACTAGTACTGAATGGTGTGAGAGTGAGTGGAGGACTTAAAAAAAAAAGTCTGTAAAGAAAGAGAGGTTCCTCTCCAACGTTAATTTCTGTCAAAGAAGTAACAAAGCTTTGCGGCGGAGAGATGTCAAACAGCGGCGAAGATGCGGTTGAGACGGAGTAAACAGCTACCGGACAGTTAGCGAAACAACTTGTTAAGAGAGAGAGAGAGAGAGAGAGAGAGAGAGAGAGAGAGAGAGAGAGAGAAACGCTTCTTTTCTTTTTTTTTCTCCGGCTGGCTCGAGTCGGGACGGTTGGCCGTTTTTCCGCCGCAACTTGAGCAGACTTCAACGCTGCTAGTTAGCGGCAAGAGAAGCGAGGACCGTCGGCGAGGTCTTGACCGCTCAGCTCGGCAACGGGAGTGGACCGGTGGGGGGTTGAAGGCGAGCCGTTCGGTTGGTTTTGGTCGGTTGGCAGAGAGCCGGTTGGGGGAGAAAACGGACCGAGAGAGCGCGGCGGCTCGAGAAGAGCGAGAGAAAGGGAGCCGCAGCTGAAGCTGTAGCTACAAAAGTTTGCCGTATCTTCACCTAGTTTTCCAGATTGGGAACTAGAGGGGGGGAAGGAAGGAAGGAAGGAAGAGGCCGAGAAGGACTGACTTTTCTTTCCACAAGCAACTTTGTGGAACCCATCCTATTTAGCACAAACTTTAGCCGCTTGCTAAGTTAAGTAGCTACAACAGAAATAATGAAAACAGCTGGAGATTCCGGTAAGTTTGTGCTCTGATTTTTGTTTTTTGTGTGTTTGTATCCACCATTGTCTTTCTTGTTTACTTGTCGTGGTTGTTGGTCGGCAAAAAGCGACCGGTAACCTGATTAATGCTGATTAATGAACGAGTCAGATAGTTATCAGCATCCGCTTTCATTTGAAAATAAGACAATGAAAACCTGTTGATTTTAAGTTGTTCAGGAGTCCGTGGTTTCTTTTTTTAAAGCTAGATACGAGGGGTAAAAAAAAATCTGGTGCAGGTTTAGGACTGTACTCCGGTTCAAGAGGAAGTGGTTAAACTACTGTACAGTTGTTACAGCGACATCCTCTGTGTCACCCTGACAACCCAATTTCACCATCCAGCACCCTTTTTTAATTTTTTTTAAAGCGAACAGACTGAAAATCCTAGAAGCATTTAGATGAGTGTGTGTGTGTTTTTTTTTTTTTTTGTATTTTGACTTAATGAGAAAGAGGGATGTGGACGTGTTGATGAGTTACTTGAAGACTCTTCTCCTTGGTGGTGACTGGGTCCTAACTAGGTATACACGGAGCGTGGTATTAACCCACTAACTGAGCATACATTTGTCAGGTACTTGGCCTGTCAGCATATTGAAGTGAGAGCAGGGGGGGATTTCCAGTAGTCAGCTGAGGTGTATATATGTGTGTGTGTGTGTGTGTGTCATTTTGTCTAATTCCTGAAATGCTTGCATAAGTTTGTTCTTGCTCCCTTCACTGGAAGCTTTTCTGCCGAAAGGAGGAAGTGGAAGTACCATAATTTGTGCCAGCTTTTCTTTTTTATTTCTGATTGTCAGTAATAATCTGCCTGATATGATCCTGCAACTACAGTTTGTTTGATTTGTATCTGTTTTACATAATTGAACAGAATTTAAGCACCTAGTGGATAACATCTGAAAGTATATAACAATAATTTATTATCGATGGGCCTCTGTGTAAAACAAAATATGCATATTTGATAAGTTGTTTTTTTCCTGTGGGAGCAATGTGATGACTTCCTAAGTAGTTACTGGTAAGCATTTGGCATAGTGCCGTGTGTGTGTGTGTTTCTGTGTGTGTGTGTGTGTGACGGACCAACTGTGTGGGACCCTTTTCCACTTGGGACGTTCCCCTCCCTTCCCCCACCCTGTCCCCTCCTGACTCCCGCTGCACCCAGCCTCAGCCCCTCAACCCTCCACATTCCTGCACACACACACCCACTCCCTGCAGCAGCCCCGAGGAGGCTGCCATGACATCACACCACAACCCACCACAAGTAGCCCTTTTATTACAAGGAACCCAGGGCTTGTGTAGCAGCAGATAACTTAAGTCCTTCTGGGAAGGTACTAAATATTGATTGTGCTTAGGTTATGGGTTTAATGGATACAGTTAGTGTGTGCGTGTGTGTGTGTGTGTGTGTGTTTTGTCATCTTTTCAGTAAAAGTAAAGAACATTAACTGGCCCTACTATAGTGTGGTTGGTGTAAACCGTGTGCTCCCAAACAACCAGTCTTAATTACCACATAACCTTGTTCACATTTATGACTCTTTTCTCTCTCAGATTGATTTAGGGTATAAAATGTTAAACTCAAAGTTAAGGCCTACACTGATTATTTACTCCCAACAGTCTCAAACCCCAAAGTCCTTCATTTTTAATGATAAGGGCTCCAATAAACCATTTCTGATTACTTTCTCGATTCAATTTTGTTCCATAAAAAGCCAGAAGATACCCATGGTGACAGTCTAAAACCCGAGATGTTGAGGAAACTATAATGTAAAAACGAGGAAAAAAGCTAATCGTCACATTTAAGAAGCTGGAACCAGCAAACATCAGTCATCAAAAAAATGGCTGATTAATTAACTAATCAATTCAGCTCTAATTATTTAAATGTAGAAAAGTAAACAGCTTCCTGCCCCTGTGAAGCTAAAACTCTCATCAAGTCATTTGTCAGTTATCAAAATTAAATTTGATTAATTCTATTTTGATGAACTAATTGATTGACCCTTTCAGCACTAGTTGGTAAACATAGCAACTCAGTCTCAGAGATGTTATCTAACAACAAATCTGATCTTACAACAGCATCTTTAAACAGTTGAATTATTGTACTGGTTAATCCATGGTGCTGTCCTGATCTGTCCTGATCTCCTGCTGCTGCTGCGCTTACAATCAGGACACAAGTTTTAACCCTTAACCTGTGGAGATCCCATCATTTAGAGTAAACACATTTCTTGAATGCAGAAGGATGAAACAGTGCCTGGATATGTGTAGGATGAAAACAAAAATGTAATCATCCCATCCTAGGCTGTTTGGTGATGTAGGATTATGTCCCATACGGTAAGCTACTGGCTCTGTGGAGCTTGCCTCCTTTCTCTCCATCACTGGACACTTCCCCCTGTACTCCTGTTTTCCACAGTCACTTCATTAGCCTGAATAGATGATAGGATTTCTGCTGAGATAGAGAATTGATGTGATGAAGCAGGAAAAGGCGGGGCTATAGCTGTGTCTGTTGCCGGCAGATCTGCGTTGGTGTTGTGTTGTTGGAAAGTATCCAGTTCAATTAAAGTTTTTATCTTATCACTGCTATTTACCTGGTATTTGTTAGTGTTTGATGTACTCTAAGAAATTGGTTAGAGGCAGTACTCTACAGGTTGTATTAGTCAGCAGATTTACATATCATATATCCACTTTTTTTATGGCTGTGCTAATGATTGATTAAGTTCTGGTGATAAGGACAAACACACACAATTATAACGTGCCTACTGGATGTCTCACCCTTCCTAATGTGTTATCTACAACCCCGCCACACACACACACACACACACACACTTTGAACCTTGTGTTTCACTCATTTTCCTCCATCACTCCCCCAAGGGTTACAATTTTTCTTATGCCACTGCTATCATTCTTTTCTCTCTCTGGCGGGATAAGGACTGGTGTGTGTCTTTGTGTGACGGAATTGCATAGTGGGACCCCTGGCTCTGGAGTGGCCATTGTGCGTGTGTGTGTGTGTGTGTGGAGTGTGGGACAATGGTGGGAGTGGGGCAGGCCTTGGGGCTGATTGTGTTTGGACTTGTGGGGCCAGGGACCTCTCATTGTACTCATAATGGTGCGGAGTAGCTCATAGTTTGGTGGTGCTTTTGACAAGTGAAGAGACCGCACGTCTGTGTGTGTGTGTGTGTGTGTGTGTGTGTGTGTGTGTGTGTGTGTGTGTGTGTGAGAAAGAGACAAAAAGAAAGAGTGAGGAAAACGTGGCAGCCTCCCAGTCTACTTTTCATCAGTAATTCAACTACATAGTCTAATGATGATTGTTTTGTGCTACTTCCCCAGAGTGATTGACATGCCGTGGAGCCATTTTACCGTTTGTTCTAGACACACACACGCAGTCCTGCCTTATGATGTGGCAGGGCAGGAGACAAAAGGGTAGCTCGTGAGCAAGAAATTCAGAGGGAACATTTCACCTTTTCCCTGTGTGGGTTTATGCGTGCGATTGCGAGCATATGCTTTTCAATCTCAACACATAACCACTGTGATGATAAGCACAGCGATTAGCCTTATCTGTGAAAACTCCCTCACAGTGCTGACCACAGCAAAACCACCTCCTCCCATTATCCCAATACAGTTTTACAGCCTGCTTTATGGGACAGTGTCCTGCTGTGATCAGGCTCAGCCAACATGCTTTAAGCCTGAAACAGATGATGTTCCATAACAAAACTGGTTATCTTCCATCAGAAAAAGCTGGAGAATTTTGTTATATGCCAAGAATCAACTTTGATTGCTGGTGTGAACATATCGGCTGCTAAGACAAAATACCATTGCTGACAAAATTGTAGGCATAAATGTTAAGCAGCACTCCGCTGCTTAATTTATACACTGTGATAACACTTGTGCGGATATTTATTTTAATGTAATGTTCTAAGTTGTTGTAAAAGATTGAATTTTACGCTCAATATTATAGAGATTGATTTCATAACAGACTGCGGAGGCAGCGTGGCCCACTTTTCCTTGTCACAACAGTTCTTCATAAAAGTTTTGATATGGTCGTCTGTAACGCTAAGTTGACAAATGACTTCTGGTAGAGGGGGCCTTCAGTTGTGGAAATGTCTGTATTTAGCCAGGAATGTGACCAAAGGGAACAATGTGCTCAGCCAGTCGACACTAATGGACCTCCCCACCATTAGTCCTGTGCCGCCCTTGACCAGGGAGACCAGGGGGGCCACAGCCAACAAGGCAGCATTACCCTTGATAGCCCGGGTGCTTCTGACCGCTGTCCAGCACAGCTGGCGGCTCGCCCTCCCTGCCCCAGGGACCCACACATTACCTCAGATCTGGCCATTGAGTCCTATAGATTATTGGCCTCTGGACCTGTTTGATCAGCTGCATAGTTGTGATGTTCGACACTAAAGAGCTCCATTTAAGATTCACTTTTTACACTGATAACACAGAACTAAATGTGTCCTCAGGGCAGGCCATGTGTGTATGTCCGTGATGTGAGTTGAGCCTAGTTTTACTGTGATGCCATTGGTTGTAGCCACAGCATGACCCCATATTGACTGTATTGGTTATTGGTCAGGGATGGTAATGAGTTGTGTCTGCATGTCTGAATTGGATGGACTGTTGACGGATAACTGTAAAACTTTGAGAATGCATGTGTGAATGCACAAACACAAAACACACACACTCGCACACACTGCTGCTTTTTATTGGAATTCTTGGACCTCCCACATTCCTGCTTAGAAGGTTAATAGTTGCCGGCTGTGTTGCATTACACATGAGGGGAAAACACAACAGTTACTATCTCTGCAAGCCTTTCCTGAAAACACTCACTCAGTGACTTGCAGAGGCATGCATTCGTTGATATACATTTGGACAGGGTGAATATGAATAAAACTGATTGAAGAATGCAATCAAAATAATGCCTATAATATTATATTATATCATATTATATTATATCGTGTTATATTATATAAAGCTAGCAGCCTCAAAATGCACACACGCGCACACACCGAG